ATGGAAGGTAGTAGGTCAAAGAGAAAGTGTTTCAGAGGTGATAGCTGAGACCGAAAGAGAAGCAAGAGTAGCCCGAGAGATTCAGTTTAGGGAGAGAGAAGACAGCGAGTAGAGAGTTCAAAGCGAAGGCAGCCGTAAGTCGATAAGTAAGAAGCGTCGACAGAGAGAGTTACCGAGCGGAGACTGGCTAAAGACAGGAGCGAGTAACATGCAGATAACAAGGAGCGGACTGAAGGAGCACCACTAAGATAGTAGTCAGCAGGTCAGAAGAGTCAATGTGACGGCGCGAGTAGGTAGGAACGTCGTTACGTCGTAGGGATGTAAGCAGCGTGTAGAATGGCGCGTCAGGGGCTAGTTGTCCAGAGTCCGTTTCGTTTACCGGCAGTTTATAGAGAAGAGGCGACGCGAGGCGTCAGAAGGACGTAGAGTTGCGTCGAGAGTCAAAGGAGCGTTCAAAAGAAGAGCAGTGGATCAGAGTTCGTGGACGTGTAGAGGGGTTTAGAGTCATGATGTTAGAGTCATGCAGGAAGAGCATTGTCAGTGCAAGAGAGTAGCGAGCGTCAGTAAGCGTCAGTGCTGCGTGAGTGAAAGAGAGTCAGGTAGAAGTCGTGTAGAGTCGAAGTCCGTTTTGTAACGAGTTGAGAAGCGGCAGGCTAACAGGGAGATAGTAGGCCAAACGTAGAAGGTACAGGTCGTCCGGCATGCCGCGCACGGGAAACAGGGCGCACCGCAGAGCGGCAAGAGAGAGAGGTAGCGTAAGCAGTTGTAGACGAGATGTAGGACGTAGTCGCGTCGTGGTAAGGCCTGTAGGCCAACGCGTTTCGTCAGCTCGTTTAACGCTTACCCGTTAACGCAGGTAGAGCAGAAGGCGTCAAGAGAGTTTAGAGAGAAGAGGTGAGAAGGTAGTAGTTCAGGTTAGGAAGAGAGTCGAGTAGCACGGCGGAAGCGATTAATCCAGGAGGAGTACGTCCGCGAGCCGGCAGCCAGTGGTAGCAGGAGAGCAGGCACCGGAAGAGCGGGCTTTAAGGAAGAAGTCTGAGTCGGCAAGTGTAGTAGTCGCCCAGCGAGGGAGAAGATGAGTTGCGCACGACCCGAAGGAGGGCAGAGCGCGAGCACTGCGTGAGTTGAGCGCGTGTAGGGCCGCAAAAAGTAGCTTAGAGGGAACCACTTGAAGCCGAGGAGTTTAAGAGTAGATGGGCAGAGCGCGACGTAGAGGTCACCAGATAAGGTAGGAGGTCGTAGAGAGTTCTTGGAGGAGCCGTAAGCAATGCCTCATGCACTGTTAAGCCACGCGGTGTCAGACTCAAAGTAGACGTATGAGGAGCCTTAGGGCAGCAGGTCAGTGAGGCTACAGCCGACGGGGGAGAGAGGTTGTGCACAGACCCCAGTGTTGTAGTACGTAGAACGCAGCGAGGCCACGCCGGACCCACGAGTGAGGGCAGAGAGTCAGTTTCAGGAGGAGTAGGTACACGAGAGTCGCACCGGCTAGGACGTTAGGCTCTAGTTCGTCGCGCATGAAGCCAGTAGGTAGCGAGCTATGAGTTAGTACAAGTCCATGAACCCTCAGCCGTCGAGTTCTGTTTCAGGGCAGGCGGTCCGTACGAAGTGAGTAGTAGCTACAGTAGTAGTCCGACTAGTTACAGCGCGTCCGCCAGTACGCTTGCAGAACGTAGTAAGGCATTTCATCAGAGGTTGTCAGTCAAGGCTAGAGAGGTAAGTGAGTGTACTACAGACGAGTGGAGGAGTAGGGCCCAGTTCTATTTACAGGGTTGCGCCGCAAGATCGTTTAGCGTAAGTGCTGCTTTCCCCCGTCCTGGTTCAGCCAGGGCGGTAGTAGCCGCCACGTTAGCAGTGTCCCATAGAAGGACGTAGCCGAGAGGGAGTAGCGTAAAGTAGAGAGTCTTGAGAGAGAAGTCGGAGTAGTAGTTAAGTAGCAGAGTAGAGCGAGACGCTAGAGACGGAAGATGTAGTGAGAGAGTCGCATGAGATCAGTCCATTAGTCCCACAGAGTACTCGAGTAAAGAGTAGTTTCAAAACAGTTGCGTCCTAGGTGCAGTAGTCAGATTCGTGGAGTGGGGTCTAAGACACGATAAGAGTATAGTTAAGTAGTAGGTTAGCCATCGCCAGTTAAGTAAACGTTCACAGTCGAGTAAAGCGGCACGTATGTAGAAAAGAGAAAGTGGGTCAAGGTTGGTTAGTAGTGTAAGTTAGGACGTAAGGTGTCCAAGGTAAGGAGGCAGTACAGAAGAGTAGAGAGACGGTGAGAGGGGGAGGGCGAGCGATTGAACGTTAGAGTAGACAGTAGGTGAGAGAAGAGAGAAGTAGCAGAAAGAGGAGATAGAGATGTGGAGAGGAGTCAAGCGTTAAGTGAAGACGAGCGGTAGCGAGTACGGTAGAGAGGAGAGGTGAAGAAGGAGGATGTTCTGCTCGGGTTAGTAAGTAGTAGTATAGAGTTAGCAACGAGGTGAGGAGAAGTAACGGAGTAGAGAGAGGAAGAAGACAAGAGAGAGGAAGATGAGTCCGAGAGTAGCGAGTAATGAAGGCGGAGAAGTACGTACGTCGTAGGGTTGTAGTGAGTAGTGAGAGCAAAGTTGAAGTGGAGCTCGTAGATTAAATAGTTAGAAGTTTAGAAGAGCGTCACGTAGTTTAAGGAGTAGGAATGTGGAGAAGTAGTGGCAGGAGAGAGGTGAGTAGTAGTTTACGTCTGAGAGAGAGTAGAGGTAGAGTAGCGAAGATGGACGGAAGAACGTCGAGAGGGGATTGAGAGGCTAGTAAGTAGAGGAGAAGGCGGCATGAGGAGAGAGTTTAGCGTTTAAGGCGTGAGGAAGAGCAGTTTAGAGAGGGTTAGAAGTAGAGCTAGGGAGAGGAGTAGAAGTAATGCAGTTTGCAGTCGGGAGCGGAGAGCAAAGGGGTGCAGGATGATGGAGTTTAGTAGAGAAGTCACGTAAGAGATGAGTAGAGGTAGGTGACAGAGAGAGTTTAGAGAGAGGTGGAGCAGAGTAAGTAGTAAGAGTAGAGTAGGTATAAGTAGTAAACGAGGAGCGTCAGTTAGGAAGAAGTAAAGTTCAGTAGTAGTGTAGAGGAGGGGAGTAGAGTAGTAGAGGACGGGAAAGAGAGAGATTTTCGGGAGCGAGTAAGTCGTACGATGGAGAAGAGCCTGGGAGTAGATAGAGGTAGGGAGGTCGCGTATGTTGGAGTCGTGAGAGAAGTTCTGCTTAGTTGGCAGTTGAGCACGAGGTTTACAAGCAGTAGAGGAGTAAGTGGCGAGAGTAGAGAGCGTGTAGTTAGACAGGTAAGGAGAATGTTACGTGGTGTAGAGGAGATGTGACGAGCGTGAGGGTCGGTTAGTAGAGCAGTAAGGTAGAGCAGATGAGGTAGCTTTAGGGTCGACCCCCCTGGGCACAGAGAGATCAGTAGAGAGTAGGTGTAGTAGAGCCTAGTTAGGACGATGAGTTGAGTGAGGGAGAAGACAGGAAGTAGGAGAAATGTGAGTAGGTAAGGGAGAATGCGCGAGGCGGTAGGTGAGATACGAGTCGGGAAGAGAGAGAGAGTTCGTAGCCGAAGTGTAGGAAAGTAGCGTTGAGAGGGTTAGATATAGTAAGGTCAGCATCGTGAGAGCTAGTAGTAAGAAGGAGCAGTATAGTGAAAGTAGTTTACGGCAGTTAAGTCGGGCGTTTAAGAGTAGCAGAGTAGTAAGAGTAAGGGAGAGTTAGAGTTGTTTGTTGTCAAGGTAGAGAGAAGAGAGCGTAAGAGAAGGAGGTAGTAGGTTAGAAAGAGAGTATGCTATGTAGTCGACTGAGAGGGTACCGTAGAGGAGAGTAGGGAGTCGTACGAGTATAGTCGTTAGTCCAGAGAGGAGGTAGTAGTAAGTCAGACAGTGAATGTGTAGGGGGAGTAGTAGTAGGAGGTTAGAAGAGTAGTCGACCTAGAAGGAGAGAGAGGGGGTTTTTAGTAGGTCGACAGCGTCGAGTTTAAGAGTTAGAGAGTAGAAGAGAGGGATGAAGGGAGTAGTTGGAGGATAGTAGTGAAGCGTAGTAGTCGAGAGACTGGTTTACGAAGAGTGAGTAGGTTTTTTTTAGTAGAGGTGGTGGTGAGAGTTAGCGAGCGAGGTGGAGAGAGAAATGTTCAGTGGGGAGAGCAGTAGTAGTTTCAAGTCAAGAGTAGGTAGGTGAGGAGAGAGTGTATGAGAGCATGGTGTGTTTAGAAAGAGAGAAAGGCTGTTAGAAGAGAGAGAGTAGTTCAGAGCTAGCAGTCCACGTAGTAGGGTGAGGTAGTTAGTAAGAGTTTAAGGACGAGTGAGACGTAAGTAGTTAGGATGTATAGTAGAAGTCTGGGTAGATGATGAGTAAGTAGGAGTAGAGAGGGCGAGCTTAAGACGTAGTGCGGCATCGGAGGAGAAGGTAGTAGTAGATGGGGTTTAGCGTAGAAGCGGAGAAGCGCCAGGTCGGGGAGTAAGAGAGAAGGAAGGGTCAGAGTAAGAGGTAGAGTCAGAGAGAGTAGAGATTGCGTCAGGAGTGAGTATGAGAGAGAGAGACGGAGTAGAGGAAGTTCACGCAGGTAGACGTTAGTTTGTGAGAGAAGTACGGTAGAAGAGGCGAGGGATGGAGATAAGAGTGTACGAAGTAGCAGCGAGTTTAAAGGAGGAAGTAGGTCTCGCGTAAAGATGCGTAGTGTGAAGGGAGTAGCGAGGTTACGGGTTAACGCGTGGTTCCACGCATCAGGGGTCAATACCCAAAAAATAACTCATCACCCAATCAGTAACGAGAGAGAAGTATGCATGAGTTTGGTGCAAGTGTAGGCGAGAGAGTTTAGATAGTCCGAAGTGGGCAGTAGGGTATCGGAGGCATACGTAGAATAAAGTACAGAAGTCTGGAGTAGGAGACGCAAGCACAGTAGTAAGAGCTGAGATGGGACGTAGTGTCGGAGAGTAGGCGAGTGGTTTAGAGCGCGTAGAGTACGGAAGGGTGGTAAGAGAGGCGCTAGTAGTAGAGTCCGCAAGCCTACGACAGAGAGAGAGTGAGACGACGGGTCAGTAGTGCGCGAGTCCGGTAAGTTACGAGGCAGGCGTTAAAGTAATAAGTAGGAGAGGTAGGGGTTCGTGAGTAGGCGGAGTTGAGAGGCCCAGGTCTGCGGTAGTTGTAGTCGGATGCGTCGGAGCGCCAGCGAGCGAGGTTCGAGGCGTGAGGGTAGAGAAAAGTTAAACACACACGAGCAGTTTCGAGTAGAATGTTGGTGGAGTCGTAGTAGGAGTGGCAAGAGGCTAGAGACGTCGAGGTATGGAGAGAGGTAAAAGTAGTTAAGAGAGATAGTAGTACACGGAGTCGGAGAAGCATGATGTTATAGTATCTCAGAGCGTTCGTCAGAAGGAAGTAGTAGAAGAGAGTAGCGTCGGAGGGGGAGTGTCATTTAGGAAGGTAGTAGTTAGTGGTAGAGCAGTAGAGGAGGAAGTCCAAGTTTCAGACGTGGTAGAGACAGTCGTTTAGATCAGAAGTGTGAGCAAGTAGTAAGTTGAGAGTCCCCGTTTAGTAGGCTATGATAGGAGTGAGGCAGGAGTGAGTCTTTGACGAGAGTAGTCGCGCGCGCGGAGGCGAGTAGGCATGAAGGAGTTAGCGCGGCCCGGTGCGTTTCAGGTCCGGTCGAGTAAGTAGGACCGAGGAAGTGGGAAGTAGTCGAGAGAGGAGGTTAAGCAAGATTGACAAGGGGGGCAATGGAGTACCGGGAGGTAATAGTTGATGGGATAACAGGTAGCAGTAGTTCAGAATGTTAGAAGTGAGTTAGAAGGGGAGGGAGGAGTAGTTAGGTATAACATAAGAAAAAAAGTTAGGAAGAAGGTAGTAGTACGACGTACGTTTCCGGGGTCAAAATGAGCAAGAGAGAAAAAGACGTGGTACGTCTAGGATCGGTCTAAGTAGCGCCAGATCACGGTAGAGCAAGTAAAGCGAGAACGATAGTGTGAACAGCAGTAGTAAAGAAGTTGACCGTAAGTTCGTTCGTTATTCGAAGCAAGGTAGTAAGGCTTGAAGGAAGCAGTTAGAGGGTAGTAGCTTTCTTATAGAGGAAAAAAGAGTACGAGAGTTTCATAAGCACCTGAGTCCAGTCGTAGGTACGAGAGAGAGCGTGGGGCGGAAGAGGCTAATGTCGGAGTCGTGACATGAGGTAAGGGTAGGACGCGGCGACAGACGATCAAGGAGCAGGTCGAACGTAGGCGAGCAGCGAAGGTCTTCGAGGCGTTAACGAAGTCATGAAGTCAGTCAGATCACGTTAGGCGTTTCCGGTCCAGAGAGAGTCGCAGGTGTTTAAGTCGACGATACGGCTTGAGAAGTGAGTAGTTTACGAGGAGTAGTGCAGCAAGGTAGTTCACGGAGAACGTCAGGATCGAGTTACGTTGCAGGTTTATGGGCGTAGGGAAGTTCCGTAAGAAGTCGTTCGGTCGAGCTCATCAAAGATAAGTAGTCAGGAACGTAAGCGCGATGCTGTCAGAGAGTAGTTAGAAGTACTGCGGGAAAAGATAGGAGCGCTAGTCGAGTCAAGGTAGGAGGTGCACAGGTTGCGGAGGAAGCGCGCACGAGCGCGCGAACCCACATTACACGGTGAGTATTAAGAGAACAGTGAACGCGTGAGTGGCAGGACGAGTCGTTAGCTTGGCCGTACGAGTGGAGTCCGTGCGTAACGTCGCACAGCGAGAGGACGAGGCAACTGGAAGACAGCCCAAGAGGCGATAAGAGAGACGTTTACGTCGCGGAGCAGTGGTTTAGCTGACACTGTTTTCACTGATTAGTCATGGGGCGTGGTGCACCAGTTCGCCGTAGGAGGTAGTACGCAGCACACAGCGGTCGACGTGGGAGCAGAGACAGCAGTCGTAGTCAAGAGCAGGCAGACGCGTAGTCGATCGAGTAGCGAGGAGTTAGGAGTAAGTTAGTGTCGATGTAGCTAGTAGGCGAAAAACTGCCGTAGTGAGCGTTACAGTAGATGCGTCGTGAGTAGTAAGAAGAAGTAGAGGTCTAGACAGTAAGTAGGTGAGGTAGAGAGGTGTAGAAGTTACAGTAGGTAGTGAGGTCGAATGGTTACGGGTGGGCAGAGCGAGTAGAGGTAGATGCAGTAGGTTATAGTCGAGGCAGAGACGAGGAGTACATCAGTGAGTAGTTGAAGTGAGTAGAGGTAGACGAGAAGTGTTAGTAAGTAAGTAGCCAGTAGGTAGAGTTAGACGGAGGAACGTACGAGCAGTAGTAGTGAAGGGCGTAAGTAAGGAAGTTACGTGGGCGTAGTATTAATCGTTAGGTTGTCAGCGGTGTACGGAGGTAGTGAGGAGAGAGTCGAAGGTGAGAGAGGGTTACTACAGCGTTCGGTAAACGGAAGTAGGAGAGTCAAGTCGTATTACGTTAGAGAGAGGACAGAAGAGAAGAGTAAGTAGTTTTAGAAGAGTAGATACGGAGTATAGGAGAGAGTTGCAGGAGATGTACGAGCGACGTCGAGAGTTAAGGAAGATAAACGTGGTCTAGTCGCGTAAGGGTAGAAACGAAAGGTCAGCAAAGGAGTAGGGAGAGAAGGAGAGAGTTAAGTTTCGTAGAGTTTAACGGGCTGTTAAATGTTGGGCTGGCGCTGGTGGTGGTAGAGGAACGTTCAGCTGCGAAGGGCGGGCGTTTACGTTAGAGAGTAGTCGAGTAAGGCGAGAAAGTGATGTTTTAGTGCGCGAAGCGACACGTAGGAGTAATGTTCAGAGGGGGCGGTCGTTATAGTAGTGAGGAGATGAGAGATACGGAATAGAAGATATGTAGATAGAGTGTAAGGGTCAGAAAAAGACTGGAGTTAAGATAAGTAGGTTCAGTAAGTCAAGAGAAGGACGAAGTTAAGTTCGAGTAAGGTTTAATGTATAGAGTGAGGAAGTAGGTAAGGTCCCACAGGGAGCGTCTAGAGAGACGAGTCCGAGGATAGCAGGCGAGCTGGTAGGAGGTTATGCAGCCCTGTCGGAGACATGATAAATGACGTTTACAGTAGCGATAGTACGTCCGTAAGGTCGACTTTCGTTAGGTCGAGAGCGGAGTGAAAGTCAGGAATAGGAGAGAGAAAGTCGCAGTTTAAGGTGTAGGAGTTGTGCGCGTTAGCGTAGTAGGAGAGTCGAAGGTTTGAGGAGGGTTTTTAGTCGCGAAGTTGTGGAGTTACGCAAGTATAGTTTAATGAAGAGGAAGTTGGAGAGCCGAGTAGTGTAGAGAAGAAAAGTACGAGAGCTTAGAGTCGGCGTGAGAGTACGTGAGGGTTCGTTCGTGAAGTAAGTGAGACGAAGTAGGTCAGTAGGAGAAGGATAGGTAGAGTCAAGAGAGGTTGTAAGAGTCAGAAGTAGAGCGGTGGTAGACGTGAGGCGTAGACGGGGAGTAAAAAGCAGAGTTGGTAGTTTAAGGGTGTAACGTAGATTGAGTAGTGGTTGAAGGAAAGTATCACCAAAAAGAGAGGAGAATCGTTCCACGTTATACGGTCAGTATGAGGTCTAGCTATAGATAGCATAGTTAGGTTTAAAGGTATAGATCGAAGGAGTGAAGGCAAGATTAATCGACGGTGCGTAGTAGTTGACGAAGGAGAGAAGTAGGCGGGCTTCAAAGAGGTAGGTGTTTAAGGAGGTGTATAGGTTTAAGATGGTAGAGTCAAGAGGTAGGATCGTTACAACGTAGAGGGTTAGGAAAGTAGAAGGAGAGCAGAAGTAGCTATGTAGGCAGACGATAATACGCAAGAGGAAGGTAGTTTAGGAGCGAAAGAGAAGTAAGGACGTAGCGTAGAAAAGAGTGGAGTCAGGGGGTGAGTCTGCGTAGTGGACGTATAAGTTATAGGTGGGGAGAGATGTACGAAGGTAAGAGGGATGGTCAGAAGAGAACGAGTGACGGAGAGACAGAAGGTAGAATAGTAGTACGTCTTTAGTAGAGCGTTAGCGGTGAGAAGAGCGAGTTTCGAGAAAAGATGGAAAGTAGTAGTCGAGTTAAGAGATGGTAATGTATGCGTCAGCGATGGAGCTCGGAACGAGTTAGCTAACAGATCGCAGAGAGTAGGCGCCAGAGCAGTAGGTAGAGGAGAAGGGCCAGAGGAGAGTTCGGTTAGAGGAAGACAAAGTAGCGGGCAGAAAAACGTTCTGAGTAGAGTTTAAGGGAGAGCGGACCGAAGTAGAAGTGTAGCGGAGGTCTAAGGTACGACGTCTAGAAGAGCCGATGTTGATACGGATTATGCGGTGAGAGGCGAGGCGTTGTAAGTTCGGGTAGTTAGAGAGATAAGTGCGGAAAGTTCCGACGAGTGTTTAGGCCACGTCAGGCGCCAGAGAAGACGAGGACAAAGATGGAACGTCGACCGATGGCGTAGGACAAAGGAAGTTATGTTAGAGTGTTGAGAGAGAGTCAAGAAGGTTAGTTTTACGGTACATGATTCAGAGAGTGGAGCAGTTCGCGATGTTATAAGACGGAGTATCGTTCGTCGCGGTAGGGAGAACGGTAACGTACGCACGCGTACGTCGGTCGCATCGTACAAGGCGTAAGTCGTGTCTTGAGAGCGTGCGGCAGTCCGGTACCCAATTCCGTGCTAACCTGTACTCTCACTACTACCGTCTAACCTTAATCTCTCACTTTATATACTCTTCTCTACTACTCTCTCTGCCCTTTCTTTCGTAACTCTCCTTCTCTACGCTTCCTCTTACTAACTTAACTACCACTCTCCTTAATCTACTCTGACGCTATCTCCTCTCTCTACTACTCATAAGCTCTCCTACCGCTAACTCCCTTCTAACTCTAGTAAACCTCCTACTCTCTGCTACTTAAACCTTCTGTACTATATACTATATCGATGAACTTTACCTACTACTACTAACTTTGCTAAACCTTATTTAAAATACGAACACAGACTACTCATGTAAGCATGAACCTGCCGGAGGTATCTGCTCTTATACCTAAAGCGAAACACCAAGGATGGCGGTACTATTCCTGCTGTATCTTACTAGGAGGAGGACAGGGCATTTTACAAAGCTGACAAGAAGGCTCAGCCACTAGCCAGCCGGTACTCCTCAATCTACCCCGTGGAACCGTCTTTACGTATTGACGATAAGATAACGCATTTTCTCCCTCTCCAGCAAGTCGAAATCAGACCCGAGATAATTAAGAGACCCCTCATTAAGCTAAACCCCAACTCCGCACCGGGCCGCGATGGACTTCACCCGCTGTTCCCCAAGACGGTGGTATAATACATTGCTGCTCGGATACAGCTAGTTTTCCTGCGTGCACTTGCAGAAGGGCAAGTGGGGATTGTAATACCCAAGTATAAAGGAGGGAACAGGCAGGATCCTGCGAGCTATCGATCGATATGC